AATCAAAACAACATAACATGTCATGACCCCCAAGTGGCGCTAATGACTATTTTCTGGTATTTTTTAGCCCAATATTTTTGTCACATTCACCTCCTGGTGGCGCAATAATCAAGGGAGTACATTGTAGATGTATTCAAACATTATTAATATAGGTAACTTTGGTACCAATAAGACCATTTATACCAATTATGTATAAGTTATAAAATGTCAACTATTGACAGCCGCTGTAAGTATAGTGAAAAAAGCTTCACAATTTAACATGATGGAGTTTGATTTACAAGGCCTGAAATGATACTATATTTTCAGAAAATTCTAAATAACTGACTCTCACTGAGTGAATTTAAAATACATTCTATTTGACTTTTTTGCATGTCCTGTTCCCTTACATTTGTGTATTCATATGCAAATTCCATGTTGCCACTGGGTAGCGCTATAACTATTTGTTCAGACATGGACTCTTAACATGCGCTGTAATTTTGAACCTCATCGGACATTGCAGGACAGAGTTATTAACAACTTCCTGTTTCAGGACCTACTTTAAGTTCATAAGCGTGTGTGGCGGATACGAACGTGTAGGCTTCATGTCTTCCTCAAGTAGACGCCGATGAGAGGTGAAGGGGAGGTAGGTGGGAGCGATGAAGCTGATTCGGACTGAGTCAGGGAACAAGAGGAAGGAACAGCTTATATGGAAGAGGGTTGATGGAATAATTGGAGTAGGTGTGGCTCCAGATAGGCTCCTCCCGAAAGATGTTAAATAAACTGTATTTATGGTAAAATTTTGACAGCCGCTGTACATTGTTTAACGTAGTCAGTTTTCATTTGCATACAACAAACTAAAACCTCAAAATAAGCTGAAATGCATTAGGTGGCACTATAGAGCCATTTCGCCACACCCAAATTTCGAACTCAAAACAATAATACTCTGAGCAATTACAACAGGATTCTACACACCTTCAACACTAATTAACCCTAAAATAATCATTAACTGTTTTTTTCTTGTGTAAATTTGAGCCCTTTTAATATAGGAATCAAGTGAATGCAGCTTCAGTCACTTTTTAACCCCTTCAGACCCAAAATAATTAGTTTTATTTCCCCCAAAAGAATTGTTTTTCTTCTGATAATAGCGGAAACGTCTTCTATTAATACGTCTAGTGATTAACTAAGTCGCTTTGGATGAAACCATCTGCTAAATTCTTAAAAGTAAATGTAGTTTTGATTGAGAATTAAGACATTTAAAGACTGAACCCATGAAGCGGTCCTTGTGGGCTTTGGAGATATTGAATTCAAATGGCTTCATAGTTCAGATGTGTCTCCAGCAGACGTTTCATCTTATCACATTTATGCATGTGCAGACAGAGGATGAATTATTAAGAGTTTGAGGATTCTGCAGGAGAGAAAGCTCTGCTAGATCAATATCAGCTTCACCTCAGTGGCAAGCCACAAGCGCTGGGAAATTGCTGCTGTGCAGAGTAAAAATGCTCCAAATTTCTGTGTAGGTCAAAGCTATTACTTTTCCAAAATAACACAAGCTCAAAAATACCCAACCCTTTCCAGGATTCTTTTTGAGTCTCCATTGTAGCAAAACACAATAAAGTTGCAGGTCTGGCCTCTAGTGGCCCTTTCCTTCTCATCAGCCACATTTCAAACTAAACTCATGTTGACTACGGTAATCTGAAAACTAAAACTAAGTTGCGATTTGTCAAAGATTTTAGTCTTTATTTCAGTTTTTAATCAATATACTTCAATATTACTTGTTTTAATGCTTGATATTGCTATTTTACTACTTTAAAGCGTAAAGTTAAAGTTTGGGTTAGACTCCCAATGAATGAAACAGGTTAAAGTCTCTTTAGGTTAGTGTCCCAATAGATGAAACAGGTTAGAATCGTTCCAGATTAGAGTCCAAATAAATGAAACAGGTTAAAGTCTTTTCAGGTTAGAGTCCCAATAAATGAAACAAGTTAGTCGATTTGGGTTAGAGTCCCAATAAATGAAACAAGTTAAGAGTTGTTTTGGGTTAGAGTCCCAATAAATGAAACAGGTTAAAGTCTTTTCGGGTTAGAGTCCCAATAAATGAAACAGGTTAAAGACTCTATGTGTTGGTGTCCCAATAAATGAAACAGGTTAAAGTCTCTTTGGGTTAGTGTCCCAATAGATGAAACAGGTTATAATCGTTCCAGATTAAGAGTCCAAATAAATGAAACAGGTTAAAGTCTTTTCAAGTTAGAGTCCCAATAAATGAAACAAGTTAGAGTCGATTAGGGTTAGAGTCCCATTAAATGGAACAAAGTAGAATTATTTAGGTTAAATGAAACAGGTTAAAGTCTTTTTGGATTAGAGTCCCAATAAATGAAACAAGAAAATGTCCACAAAAATATCCACTGCTCAACCATATTTATTGAATTCTGATAAAAGCATACATTCCATCATTCTGAAACTTGTTTGATTAGTATGTGATTTGTGCACAAATTAATGTTGCAAAAACCCTAAAAAGCTACTTACATAGTCCACAATTATCATTTGGGAGTGATTATTTTGTTAGTAAACCATTGCATATAATGTACATAAAAATACTAAAATGTATTTCCAAAACAAATCCATACAGCAGTTTTAGTAGTTTAATGCATTCTTACATTTTAATGACATAAAATATGAATTAATTCACTGTAAATATAATGGTTTAAACTCATCAAGATGTGCAAAAAAAACAAAACATTCACACTGAATTTTCCTCACAGTCTTAAGACTTATTTAGTCACATTAATTGTTTATTACCAAACAATTCAACAGATGTCAAAGTTATTGTAATGAATTAATGAAAAGTGTAGATTTTCTAATGGATCTAAAGATGTTAGCAATGGCAACATGTTGAAACAAGCAATTGATTTATTAATAAAGAATCTAAGGGAAAAATGGCTGGTACCCTTTTGTCATTCTGACATTTACAAATTTATTTCAATGATAAACATATTACTCTATTATAATTTTAATTAAATAAATATGTCGATCTCCAATTATTGTTGCTATTAAGCTAAACTGATTGAAAAAAAAAAACTGCCTCCCAACACAATTGACTTATTGTTGTACTCCCTCCAATAACCCCCAAAGTTGCTAAGGAGGGATGATAATATGATATTCCCTTTTCACAACAAGTTACATAAACCAATCCCCATGTCTAATATTTACCAGATATAGAGATAGAGTTCAGAAAAATGGGTTGCTAGGGAGGTGTCAGTGTTGTCATAAAAATAATTTGTTAATATAATGTTTCATTCTGAAGATATTTTCATTTCAGTTTCACATTTATTTTTAACGACCAAAACAAGTCAATAGTAAATATTAAACCCGTCTAGAGCCTGGGGTTCAAATACTTTTGTCACAGAAGTGGGTCTGTTCTTACACCGACTGATTTGAAGAACAAGTGTGGTTCTCATTAAGAGTTACAGCTTTACAAAGTTCGACCCCATGTTAAGTCAATGGACAACTTTCCAGAATTCTCATGATCTCGCAGAACTCCTTTGGTGCTACAGCAAACCAAATCAGACGAGCTTGGATATGTTGACAAAGTTTGGAGAATTTTTTTTGTCAGAATTTTGCCAACATAATTAATTTATTTGAACAATGTTAATAGTTCGACCAATCAAAGCAAACAAACAGACAGAACACTTGTAGTTTTAGCTTGGAGTGCCAACACTTGAGTTAGCAGATGCTAATGTTTTAGGGAGAGATTGGTGAACATTTAGAGATTGGATGGCCATTAAATAAATGCTTACACTCTTGTTTTTCAACCACAGAACTTCCAAAGCAGACATTTTGCTCAGTCTAGTTTTGGTTTTGAAAAAAAATCCAATAAGACCTAAACCTTAAGGCATTTTTATGAAACACTTGCACTACAAGTGCCATTATCAGGGACTTTGTCTTTTTGAGACAAAGATCAATTGACATTAAAAAAAATTGTACGTTAAACAAAATGTACACACTTTTTGTAAAATCTGATTCAAACTCTTGAAACATTCTGACACTTTAGAACACATAACAGTGTTGCTTTTTTACCATTTCACTTTCCTTTCAACATGTAAACCAAAACTACCCCAGTTCACTTTCTGAAGCTCAACAAGTGCAACCTGCACGTCTCCCTGTTCTTCACTGCTGAGTGCATTCACTTGGCTGTTCATTCCGGGTGCCTTCTGGCACACCCTCACTTTTCTTCTGCTCAACCGCCACCTACAGGACAACAGGAACAATTTAATGGTTATGTATTAACAAGGGCACACCACACGGAGGCAGTAACACATAAGCATAGAAATCCAAGCTGAATCACCTGTGAGCAGACCTCAAAAATCTTTCAGAAATTTAGCAAAGAATAACTTCAACATTGTCCTGTCACCAGCTGTCACCATAACAAAAGTGCATTTATCTCTTGCTATAGTAAGATGCATCATCAGCAGGTTTACTATCGTTTCTACACGCAGGTTCTTGTCTTGCACACCTCTGCTCGGTGATGAATCACTCCCTGTGGCTGCTCAACAGTAATGGGAACAGATGTTTGTAGAAGGCAGCTCCGGCACCTTAATGACATGTTTGGAATTCAGCAGGGAAAACAAACTCTTGCAGCTGACACAGCGGGTAGCATGAGGGTGACGACTTGTCTTTCGGTAGCTTTGTCAGAGTGCGCCCAACATTTAAATCAGACTCCACTGAAGAGGTTTGAAAATCACCAGCGGATTAGCTAATTAATTCACCGGGTTATTTCAAAAGAATGCACAGGTTCGCAGTATAATACAGAGGTTTCGTGCAGTGTGCATTTTTCACTTGTTTAGCGGAGTAATGGCTAGCAGTAGGGGTAGCATTAAACAATGCTAGGTTCCCAGCCGCGTACCCCTTGAGCCACATCAAATATATGTATAGCACGGGATGTGTGTCTAGATTTACATTACATTTATGCATTTGGCAGATGCTTTTATCTTAAATTTCAAGCAATTAACACATTGCGGCAATTCTTGCTTTCCCTGGGACTTGAACCCATGACCATTGCGTTGTTAGCACAATGCTCAACCAATTGAGCCATAGGAAAGAGGGTACGGTGAGTACCAGAGCCAACTTTTTTTCTTTACTGAACCTTGTGCTCTTTCTATACTCTTTCCTTGTTAACCCCCAGCAAAGTACACCATCACAACAACTGTGGCAAATATTCAACATATATGTGTTAATATTACAGAGAGGGAGATTCGAGTGATTCATTACGAGAAACTTTAATACTGAGCTATCAACGTTTTATTAAAGCACTGATAGACGCTGAAATGGCGTATAGAGGAAACGTTATATTTCAGATAGAACTAATCTGAAGTGTCTGCACTGCACTGCCTGGATTGAGTCAGAGATGAAAGGCAGAAGCTGTGGATATTCAACAGATTTTCAGCTAAAGAAAGTCTCGACACAGGCGGCAGGAACAAGTAAATGAAAAATGTAAATTAATTTTTGTTAAACGAGTTGTGACTGTGTTCAGTGGTTCCCCCGATTTGAAATTTTGGCTCTTTCCTCCATGTTTAAAAAACAATCAAATTATCAACGAAATAAAAACTTGTTTTATTTTGTGAGTAAAAATATTCAAGCAAAATGACAAACAGAACTGAATTTAGTCATTTGCCCCGACCAGGATTAGTGTGAATTAATAAAGTGAATGAACCATGTTCAGTGTCCTTACAGGATATCCTTATCAGTTAAACTTACAGTGTCCTTTGGTTGCGCCAAATATACTCAGGTAAGTGCCCTTGAATTACTCAGGGTCCTGAATATGTTAGACAAACTTAATTTACTAACGTTACACATTTGTATCATGGTAGCTCTGTGTTTTGACACTCGCTCATTTGTTTCCTGATATCACATGAAAAAGTGTTGCTTTCTGTCTGGAATCACTTCCAGATCGTTTCACTTGCAAAAAAAAATCATTATTTAAAATACATTTTCATCAATGAAAAACAATTAACTGTTCTGTATTTTTTTGTCATTTTATTTATAGTCACGCATTAAGAGTCATTGGTAGCAGGAGGTACGCGACTGTGTGTGTTATTTAGAGAGACCTAATGTTTATGTCGTTATTTTAACACAGCACACCAGGGACGGTTGATGAAGTAGAAGCTTTACATTTCTCTGTCTGCACATAATGCACTTTGTTTGGATTGATTGCTTGTGTTTCCGCCTTAATGAGAAAAAAATCTCTTTACACTTGTTGGTACGAGCATAGTCTGCATCCACACAGATGAATACTTTGGATAATTTGACTCTCTCCGCCATCACCACCTCAAAGGCGCGAGCTCTCTTGGTGTGTGCACCTGAACTCTCTTTATTGCAAAATATACCTTCATCTTCAACAAAGGATAAAAAAATACCAAACATTTTATCTAACACATTTTTATTGATATCGATCACATGTCTATCAATACATATCATTATCGTTTTATCGATCAGCCCTAGTGTGGCCTCATTATTTCTATATCTGTGTGGAGTTATGGAGTTAAGTTGTGTTTTAACAGAGGGGGCAAACACTTTTTCACAAAGATATTGCTTTAGATAATACAAACCTTCATTTAAAAATCTCATGATTTGTTGACCTGTGTAGTCTTTGACTCTTATTTACATTTGTTTGATGATTTGAAACATCAAAATGTGACAAACGCACACACCAAACAAAAGACTCATGTCTGATGACACAGATGGATCAGTAAAAGTTGAATATTCTCGAAACACTCCAGCGGATTACTCCAAACTTAATATAACCTTGTACTGGGCACTGAGCAAAATAGAGAGACTTTGTGTGGAAATCAATTTTCCCAAATAGAACGAAACATTGAAGAGCTGTGTGCCTCTGTCCAATACGTAAAAAAAATCAGTGTAGTATTAAATGTATTATTAATGATTTGTCGACTCTTGTGATTTAAGGTGTTACATTTTATTGCCCACCAATCACCAATATCGGCCGATGTTCGCAATGGGAGAAACAATCAGACGACCTTCAAAGCGCCAATCAGAAGAACCTTTCATATGATACAAAAACGGCAAACACGCTTTATCATGTTACCACAAATGACTTGAAAATGACTGTGTCCCATGTCATGCATGGATCTACGTAAATACTTCACTGAGAGCCTTTCGGTGTTATATGAAGTAGTTATTATCATCATCAATGAAAACTTCAGTAGTTCTGAATTCAGAAGAATGTTCAGGGTAATGCACAGCGGAAGCGCTGGCTTCTATGTTTCTGACATGTTTTAAACACGGGAATCGATCATACGTCAGGCTTCCCAATAACTGTAAGAAACCAATACCAGATTTGGTTTCCAGTTCATGTTTAGTTCAATGCATTTGTAAAATGTAAAAATTGTGTACGTTAAAATGTTAACAATGAAAAAAAATTATCTTAGCACACTTTTTGAATTTATATGATTTATTATTTGTACATTGGACATTGTGATTTCCTTGGACTCTTGTAGAAGTGATCATTTTGAAGTGTTTTTGAGCTTGTTTTTTTTTTTCAAATTAAATAACACTTGCACTAAGACAAATCGTAAATATAAAGTGTTGCATATACATATTTATTCGTTTACTACCTTGTTACTACCTTAATTTAATTCATATTCAGTGTGAGAAATAATTCACATGATCAGTGTCTTTGCAGAGATGAATATCCTTAATTATTAATAAATTCAGGAGAGGATATCAAAATGGTAGCCCTTTGCATTAATCAGTACCCAGGAAGTAGCTCTCGGTTTCAAAAAGGTTGGTGACCCCTGTACTAGATGCTGAAGTGTATTTTCTTCATGTTATGATTGTGAATCTAGTCACTTCTGAAACTTCTTTATCGAGTCTTTGTTTTATGTAATTTTTACTTGAGGAAAATTATCCTTTACTCACATTTGAAGGAGAAAGATTATAAAATTAGCTCCTGCCATCAATTAGACTAAAAGATAGATTCTTGCAAACACTGCCCCCTAGTGGATGGTTCTTAGCTGTTTAGCTTTGTGGTTTCAAAACATTTCAAATTCCATTTTTTTCCAAGGGTGGTTATACAAACAATAGTTTCAATTGTTTCAAATAATGTTGTAAAATATTGTGATGCATATCATATCATATATGCAGAGCTAATCATTTATTATTTTCCTTTAACCAAACCCCACCCAGCCCTAAAAAAAAACAAACAAAAAAAAAAACAAGTTGTTTATGTAGAATTTTGTTGGTTATACTGGAAATGTTGGTACCCATAGAGTACAGGTTACAACAGTGAAGAGAGAGAGAGAGAGAAAGAGAGGTAATACCTGATAGGAGTAATGTGATTTGTAGGTAATCCATTTCTTCAAGTCAGTCCTGTCACCGACAGACAAAGAACGAATGCTGGCTTTAGAGGCAGTCGCAGAGGGCATCTCAAACTCAACCTCCACCACACACTCAAATTTCGGTGGCACCTCCCAATCTGAACCCAGCTCCAGACGACAGAAGAACGTATGAGGATGGCCAAGCGCTAAAAAAAAAAAAAACCACATCCAAAGCCACATTAACAGAATCTTCCCAAGTCCCTTAATGAAGCATTCATTATGAAGTAATTAATGCCTGAACCTGAAAACTACAAACAATTAATATAATCATGCAACTGCAATCAGAAATCAGAAAACTATAGGAGCAATGGTGCTTTTGCTAATTATTGGCCATCTTTTCACAATGAATTAATATAAAAATGCAATGATTCAAAACAACTTTACTCCCATATTCCCTGTAATACATCCACGTTATTGGAAGGAACAAAATAAACAGAAAAATTAACAGAAAATTGTCATTTTAAGATTTAACATTTGCAAATTCCTTCAAAAAAAGACAACACTGAGGAAATGAAAAAGACAAACATGGATTTAAAAAAAAACCCATGAATGGTAGTGATGGTGGATGCCACACATTCATCCTGTGAATTAATAGAAAGCGACAACTAGAGCTTTGTTTAACCAATCAGACTCATGCAGGGGGAGGGAGTCCCTGCTGATGTACCATTGTAAAGCCTAAAGCATTCTCCATTGACTAAAATCTGCACAGGGTACAATGCAACTGCCATGGCACAAGAAAAAAAAAAACAGGATAAAGGATTATTTCTAGGCCGCTGCACTTGCATGGGTAGTCAATACTGCATTAACTGACTATTTATCAGCACTGCATTTTGTGTTCGTTTGGGAAGCTCTACCCTGCAGTTGTCAACTTAAAATTGTGAAACCTGTATCTCACCATGGCAACAGCGAAATACAAACACTAATGTAAAAGTGAAATTCAGATTTAAAAGACAACGACACAATTTGAACTCTTCACCATCAATTAGAGGATCTATATGATCATTTAAACCAACAAAATAATGTAAAAGCTGCTTTTAGATGCTTCCAAAGTCTGTTTTACACGTTCACACTTGCATAGAAACAGCATAGTATGGCTCTTTAGTATGGAAACAGCATAGAAACAGCATAGTATGGCACACTCACATAACTTGAAACGAGAGCAGATTAATTAGTGGACTCAAGAGTTTCATGAGGGTTAAATCTAAACTGTACAGGGATGCAGCCTTGCCCACCAACTTCAGGTAATTAAGCAATAGAGGGTATGCACATGACCTCAGTCGTAGAATGAGTGTCAAAAAGGTTCTTAATGAGCTGGTGCTAAATGTGAGTTTGACCTGCGTAAGCTCTGAAAATGTGGAAAAGCTGTTGTGCAATCGATTGCTCAAACCAATATTAAATATCTTAGAAGAACACCATTCAACAGTGGGAATTCTGGTGAACTGAGGTGCACAGCTCAAAATGAGAACTTTATTAACAACACAAAATAAAAGAGAAATAAAAACCCTTAATATGGTAATCCTGGCTGACTAGACTTTTGAGGAGATTAACTAAGAACTAAAGGAGTGTAACAATACATAAATCAAGATCTACGACTCACAAAGTCCGCAGCAGCAGCAAGGGATATTGATCACCCGTTGGAGAGTGTACAGCAGTTTGGTAAACGCAAAGATGGCATTAGCTTAGAATATGCCGAAAGCTAAATTCA